GGGACAGAAATAAACTTCCTTTTTACTGGCTAGTGGTTTTTTTTTCCCTCTCATCCTTCTTTTATTTCTTGATTTAATGTAGTTCAGACTGATGGATAAATTGATATTTCCATGCCATAATATTTAATGTTACTTTTAAGTCATTAGGATTATGATGCATTCTTCAGTTGGCTTTGTTTTAGTAATTGGAAGCTCTATTGTCTTATTGTGCACAATTATTTGATGGAAAAACAGTACTGAAAATACTTTTCAATTGTGAAAAATGAAATAAAATAAGTTAATGAAGAAACACATGTGCATTCATTAATCATGACACCATACTAATTGTCAGATAATTTTGTTTGGTAGGCAGACCAGGCTAGCTTGAAATTCATGGATCAGAAATGGTAGAAATTCAAAGTTATTAGTAGAAAGGAAAAAACGAGTCTTCTATTTAAAGAAAAGAGAGAATATATTATATGTGAAATTGTCAAAACAGAAACCTTTGCTTTGTAAATGTGTAATTTATTTATCTTTGAAAGGGCATTTTTTCCACTAATCAGAAAATGAAGCAGTATGTTTTTGTTTGGTACAGATTTAATATTTTACAACAATAGAGTAATATTATCATTTTTGTTCTTTTTCTGTTTGATAATAATACAGTATTATAAGGTATTTTCTGTAAACCAGTGATTTCTATGTAGCATCTAATATATAATATATATGCAATATATTTAGATACTTACTGTTGGTTTTTTATTTTGGGGTTTGTTTGTGGGGGTTTTTTGGTAGTTTATTAATTGTTTTTGTGTTTTTTTATATTTCACTGTTTGTCTACCTTTTGTATTTTTTTTCTTGTTATAAAATATTCTAAACATTTAAAAAAAATTTAAAAGCCTTGATGTATTAGGCATGTAAAAGATATATTTGGTTTCAAGAAGCTAAATTTTCAAACGTATTTCATATGCAATGTATATGTGTCATTTTGGAATTTTGTTTTGTCTTGAAATCCACTAATAAATTATTGCTTCCTTTTAATCTGTTGGGTTTTTTTCCCATTGAAATTGATTCATGATGTCTCCATTCAGTGCTCTTTCTTTTGTAATTGATCTTTTTTCTCTATAGGTTGGAAATCCACGTGTTGAGCTCACACTCTCAGAACTTCAGGATATGGCTGCCAGGCAACAACAGCAAATTGAAAATCAACAACAAATGTTGGTTGCCAAGGTAAACTTGTTCTGGAAGATTTTGAAAATGCACTCTCTAGAAAATACCTTAAATCTCAGTAATACAGAAAATGATGTAATCAAGAACTGCTGTGATTCAGTACTGTCCTTTTCCGTAAGTGTACATATGCAACTGATCTTATGTTATAAGATCTTATATTATAAGATCTTATAATAATTATCTATATTATAATCTTATGTTATAAGATTCTCTGTTCTTGAGAATAACTGTGGACAGTATTCATAGTGAAGGTAACAGCAAATAACATAGTTGGTGATACTGCACCAATGCGGCAGAAATGTCCTGGATGTTTTATAAGGCAGCAATTGAAGCACAACAGATATTCTATAGGTAGCGGGGGTTTTTTTTCTTTTATCAATAGTTTTTTGGAAGTTGTAGGATTAGACTGCCCAGACTATTTATTTGCTCTCTGAGTATAACACATATGGCTTTTCCTGTGGTGTGCAGAATTTTTTACTTTTGGCAGGCCCAAGGTTTGTGCTTATTTGAGCAGAACCAAAAATTTAGTGTTGATGCTTTTAAGTCTTCTGTAATAGTGCTCTGTGAATGTCAAGAGTGATGTGAATAGAGATATTCTGTTGCATACTCTGATTTTCCAAAGGCTTTTGAAAGACTTCTGTGCACGTTTTGGAATGGAGAGATACATGAATAGAGATTATAAGAATAGAGAGATAAGAGATTCCATGCTCCAATTTTTTAAAATTGGAGTATTCCATAAATAATCTGGAATTATAAATGAGTAGCTAAATTTTCCATGCTTGTTTATAGCACCAATTGATATCAGAATAATTAAGAAAAGGGATAAAATAATATAATTATCAGTAATATACTGTTTTTAAACCTACTTACAATACAACTGGACGTGAATAGTATGTACAGTTCTGTCACTAATCTAAAAAAACAGATATTGTAGAATTGTAAAAGGTGCAGAAAGGGCAACCTAAATTATCAAGGGACTGGAACGATTCCCCTGTGAGCAAAGGTTATGACATATTTGGTTCAGAAAAGGGGTAAATAAGTGGACATGATTGGTATGTAAAATTGTTCATGGTGTAGAGATAGACTGTTTGCCTGAATAAGGCTGTATTTTATGTATGAAGATTCCAAAAAAACAATTGTAACATAATTGACATGTATTTTACTACTGCAGCAGTTTTAGCATACGTTAGTGGAATATGTGCTGAATTAAAGGACAGAAGTGAATTTTAGTTTTTATTTTGTATAATAACAAAAAAAATGCTATGAGTAAAAAAGAAAGCATTTCCTGCATTTGTTCAGTTTGTAGGCTATCATTCTAAAGAAGTGATATTTATCTTGCTTTGGATCTCCTTATCTTTGCATGTTTGTAATCCTATGATAGTCACTGTTTCCTTTGGGAAATTGTGTAATAGAGTGTTGGGACCAATTTTGCAGTGGAAGGAAGCATGTTCGAGAAGCAGGAAGTACACATTACAGGAAACTTTGCAACTGTGTTGGAATAAATATTTCAGTTGAATTCTTAAAGTATACATGAGTTTTGATCTTGGTACAAGTTTGAGAGGGAATTAATAATATTTGTTTCTAGACTCAAAAGGAAAAAGATCAGCAGGCAAGAAAGCTGTTATTTAATTTAAAGACTGGCTGTCTCAGTATGCTTTTAATACTAAGAAACTGACTGGTAATATTTTTCTAAAAATAAGACAGCATGATTACATGTTGTACTTGTTTTGATAGGAACAACGTTTGCGTTATCTCAAGCAACAAGAACGCCGTCAGCAACAATCTGTGTCTGAGAGTGAAAAGCTTCAAAAACTTAAAGAACGAGTAGAGACCCAAGAGACTAAGCTGAAAAAAATCCGTGCCATGAGGGGACAGGTGGACTACAGCAAAATTATGAATGGCAATTTGTGTATGAGTGATTTCTTCCCATTTCTGTAGTAATTATTAGTTGACCTTTTTGATCCAGTACTTGATTCAGAGATGGACATGCAGCGAAATGCCTGTCAAACTACTGTTGTATTTCAGTCGTTCTGGTCACTAATCTAAAAAAAAGAATATTGTAGAGTCATTCTGAACATGGAGTTCGTTGGAAGCCATTTCTGCTGTTGAAGTTTTATTTCCCACCCCCTCCATTTTTCATGACAGAGAGAATAGCTGCAGTATCAGAATATAACCAGATTCACATTATTCTTGAGCATGTTGTGAGCACACACTTAAGAGTGAGATATAAAAGTCCATGTGTAGATAAAACTGTTAAACTTGGTATGAATTATCTGAGGAATGCAAGGCATTTATATATTTCAGTAAGCCAGGAATTTTTTTTAACTGTGGCTTATTAAATAATAAATTTG